GATCAAGAAACTATGAATTGAGTGTTAAACCAGTAAATGTAAGTTATTGGAAAAGTAGTTCATTGTCTCATAGGGAGAGACACTTAAAAAAACGGTAACATAGAAATATGAGGGGACTTCAAAACATTTGAGGAAAAATAGAGCTAAAGTATGAGTTTATTCTGGTGTGAAAATAATTTTGAAGTCCAGGCATAATTTTTTTGTAACACACTATTTATTTCTTTGGATCTTTTGAAGGTCCCTTAACTGATATGCTAACCTTGGGTATTTCTGTTCTATCTTTAATCAATCTCTTCCTGGGCCTCTGTAGAGAAGTACTGGGCAAAGATCCAGGGTTACTATGTTTTCTCTTCCAAACTCTTAATTAACTATTTTTTTTTAAAAAAATAAAAAGCTCAAAACTTTGAGAAATTAACATTACTGAAAAAAAATCTCCTTATTTAGTACCCAAGTTACATTGTTACCATTAAATATTCCTTTTACTGTTATTTTTAGCCCTCTGCTGGTGAAATTCTTTAAATAAATAGTTTCATCAGTAATAACAAAACTAGAGATTACCCATTTACTTCCCATAGTTTTTGAAATATTGTTTATTTATAATCAAATTCCATGGACTGGTCTCAAGTGCTGATTTTCCCCTTTGAGGTGACTTTTTTTCTCTCTGTTTTGTAACTGCAGTTTTTGGCAGTGATACTTTTATATTTTGACTTTTCCTTCTTCATTAGGGATAAAAATTAAAAAACTAGTTTCCTCTTTCTTTGAGAGAAATATTACAAAAGTGACTTGCTAATCTTTTGAAGCTCTAGAGTAAATAGAAAAAACGAAATAACATTTGGTATTTTTATTGCCTCTCTTTGTAGTAACTTACATACATTATCTATTGACGGGGGAATGGCTTATCAAGTTTGATTTATTGATACACAAATGAAGGGTCATCATGTGCAAATGCCCATAGACTTTTGTGTATCAGCTAATCTAAGGGTCTTAGGCACCCTGTGAATCTACAGTTATCTGCTCTTACTATCACACACACACACACAAACACACACTTGATATAAAATATAATTCTTATTACATAGTGAGCAGCACTAACAGATCACAGAAGGCAGGCAAATAATATCTGGTTCAGACGACTGTGAATTTTACTATTTTTCACCCCAAAAGGTGGAGTAATTAGAGGAACAGCTTATGTTGAGAGTAGGCTGTGTTCAGTCCATATGCTTTGGGAAATCACTTGTGATTTGAATATGCGGCAAACACTGGATTATAAGAGTGCCAGGAACATTCTGAATACTAGTGCTCCTGAACTTTCTGAAATAGGAGTACATCATTGGGAATAGAAAGTTAAGACAAGGTATCGAGCAGGTTTCAGTAAGACCTTCTAGTCATGTGAGTGGCAGGAGAATAGCACAGAGACAACAGGGGACAGCTTTCCCAGGGAGTAAAGCAAATATTTGAGATGGGGATAAGAGTAATGGGAGTTAAGAGAAGTAATGAAGTCATTTCAATGAGCTGATTCCAGCCAGTTATTTCCATCATACCGTAGTCTCCAAATGGTAACTATCACTATTCGGGACACAAACAGAAGCAGTGGGAAAGTGCAAGCTGATTTGCACTATCTGTCAGGCTAATACTTGCTGCAAGTATTTGAGTTCTTACTCTTTGCTAGGGAAGACAGTTAGTGCGTCATTGGCGCTGATTAGCTTATGACAGTTATAACTTGCTGTTAACTATTCTCTACCACTCTCCCACAGGAGGAAGAAAGTAACAGTGGGATGCTTTCCCCTTACCCTGTCACCTAGGAAAAGAAAGACATAAAGATTTTCCAAAACTGAACCTGCTCACTCAAATCTTAATTCTTTATTTTACTGACTCTGAAATGTAATTTTTCCTTTTTTGGTCACTTAAGGTCTATTCTATGTTCACTACTTTCTAAGTTAAATCCCCAAATTTCTAGTTAAAAACGGACTGGAATTGAGCATTATTTTTAGTCATATAATTCAGAGGCTAAAAAGTAAATTTTAAAAAGTATTCGTCATTGTTAGATTACTTCACTGTAAATAGTGAGTTGGTAAAGAGGGAAAAGTTGGTATCCACAAAGGAAGTGAGCAAACTCCATTGTTAAGAACTAGATCTAAAAGAAGAGAATCAAGTTTCATAATTAAACTTTATTTTTAAACTCAAATATGTAATTTTTTTTTATTTTTATAACATCTCCTCCACTTAAGGAAGAGAGTTTACTTTTCATCTTCAAAATGAGCCACATCAATGGGTTCTAGGTGATCCAAAACTTTGAAGGAGAAATATATAATCTGAGAAGCCACATCATTTAATACAGATGGCTATTTGGTGAAATTGACTTCATAAAACCCTCTGTCAGTGTATATATATATTCAAAATATTTAAATTTGCTCGAGAGAGTATGAATGCACCAGAAAGAGACATATACACACAGAGTCAGAGAGAGAGAAAACATTTCCTAGGATGGATGGTCACACTTTAGGCCCTTTTCTTCCACTCTCCTTTCAGGATTTTTGGCACATGTGCACATGTACCTGTAGTGTTTTTCAGCTTCCAGGTCTGGGACTCAAACTGTGTAGTTGGCCATTTGAGATCTTGCATCTTTAACCACCACTTCACCAGTTGGCCTGGTATTTATTAATTTATAACTTGGCTTTGGTCCTCAGATGCTCATGGGCAGGAAAAACCAGACATGGGTAAGTGAATTCATTCTGCTGGGCCTGTCCAATGTCTGGGAGACTCAGGTCTCTCTCTTTGTCTTGTTCCTGGCCATGTATTTGGTGGCCGTGCTGGGGAACCTGCTCATCATCCTCCTTATCAAGCTGGACAGCAGGCTCAGTACACCCATGTACTTTTTCCTTAACGTGCTGTCATTCGTGGACATCTGTTATACCACCAGCACCGTCCCACAGATGCTTGCTCACTTCCTGTCAGCCTGCAAGTCCATCCCATTTCACAGCTGTGTGCTCCAGCTGCACATCTCCCTAGCAATGGGCGGTGCAGAGTTCTTCTTGCTGGGAGCCATGGCCTATGACCGCTACGTGGCTGTGTGCCACCCTCTGCACTACACAGTCATTATGCATGGAGGGTTGTGCTTTGGACTGGCTGCCACCTGCTTGGTGGCAGGTTTCATGAATTCACTGATGCAGTCAGTCATCATATTCCAGTTACCCTTGTGTCACAATGTCATCAATCACTTCGCCTGTGAAATGCTGGCTGTGCTGAGGCTGGCCTGTGTGGACATCTCCTTCAACAAGGTCATGGTGACCATCTCAGGATTTCTGGTGGTCATACTTCCCTGCTTTCTGGTCCTATTCTCCTATGGTCGTATAGTTACTGCCATTCTGCACATTCGCTCTGCCCAGGGGCGACGCAAAGCCTTTGGAACCTGCGCTTCCCACCTCACTGTTGTTTCCATGTGTTTTGGAACAGCCATCTTCACATACATAAGACCCACGGGTGGCTCATCAGCAGAGCAAGAGAAGATGGTTGCCCTCTTCTATGCTGTTGTGACCCCGATGCTTAATCCCTTAGTCTATAGCTTGAGGAACAAGGATGTGATGAGTGCCTTCCAAAAAATGTTAGTGAAACTTACTGAAATAAGATAAAAATTCAGAGAATTTATCCAACCCTTCAACTGTCCAAAGAAAGAAATTTCAGACAAAGAAGAAATGGTTGATATACTTTTCTTCCTAATATTTTCTGATAAGGTAGATATGGTGCACATATTTTTGTAGACTGGCTCTCTATATAATATGCTATTATATATACATTATATGTTAAATTAATTATAATTATATATAATATATACTTATACATATAATTATAATTAATATATATAATATAATACATGTTAAATTAATTATATATCAAATATAATTATTATATTATATTATATGTTACACTTTAGATGTTTTTGCCTTTATGTCTGTGTGTTCACCAGAGAGAGAGACAGAGACAGTGAGAGACAAAGTGAGAAATCATCCTCCAGGGGCTTGGCTACACTGTAATCCATTCTCCTCCATTATTCTCCTGGGAAATTGGGCACACATGCAAATGTTCCTGGCATGATTTTTCAAGGCATCAGGTATGGGACTTGAACTGTGGTCGCCCGTGTGGGAGTCCACCAACATAACTGCTACATTATCTGCTGACCTTACATTATAGTTTTTGACTATGTATCTCTGCTTTATCAGATATGTGGTAAAAATGAAAACAAAACAAAACAAAACAAATAAATTCTTCAATTATATTGTGGTCTGCCTGAGAATCTATTCTAGAGTTCACATTCCCTCTGTTTCAGGAAATGCAGTATGAACAGAGCTTTAGAGTAGCTGTACTTCCTAGCTTGGCCCTACCTTTCATTACCAATAAAGCTATGAAAAATGCACTTTATATTTCTGACCTCCAGTCTCCTCATCTATAAGAGAAGTAATAATATCAAGGATATGTGGTTATTTTGAACACTGCAAGGTATTTTACAAAGTTATCTACAGAGTGGCTGGCATAGAGTACATAGCCATTTTTTTTCTAAAAAATTATTTTATTTTATTTATTCATTCATGTTTTAATTTGACCAGAGAGAGACAGACGTTGAGAGTGAGAGAGAGGGGAAGCAAAAAAGCAAGCCACCAGATTCAGGACTCGAACCCTGGTTGGCCATGTGGGAGTGTCCAGCGCCTTAACCACCACGCCACCTGCTGGTCCAGAGTACATAGCCATTTTAAAAATTAATTTTTAGGGCATAATCACAGAGTAAAGCATTAAGCAATCTTCTCTGTCTCAAATGTGTACTTAAACTCTTTGAATGGGGACCAGCAGTTAGGGTAATGGCTATGTTGCTGAACTCCTATGTAGCTGACTGTGGTTTGAGTCCCGGACCCGGTGACTTAAACTCATGCTGTGTATGTGTGCATGTGTGCCCAAGATCCTGAGAGGAGAATGGAGTAGAAGGTATTGTGGTGTTGCCATCCCCCTTAGGGAGTGATTTCTCACTTTCTGTCTCTCTGTCTTTCAGGCAAGCTCCCGTGCCATATAGCAAAAACCTCTCAAAAAATAAATAAATAAATAACAACCAAAAACTCTTTTTATGTTATAAGTCTTCTTCAATTCTCTTTTTAAAATTTATTATAATCATAATCTTGTTTATATTACATTGAATCACATGTAACTTTACAGTGTATTACATTTCTTTTTCCAGGAGGAATACCATGCATATCATTCAATACAGAGACATTAAAAATCCTCATTTCATCATCCAATATCTTTTCATTGTTTTTCCTGATTATTATTATTGGAAGAATATAGAGAAAGATAGCAAGAGAACAAATAGAGAGACAGAACACAGATATGGTTTATTACTTGTTGATGATGATGTGTATAGTATTCTCAATTGGATTGGTCTGAGAGGTCTCCTTCAATTTTTTAACTACAATTTACTCCTTGGGTAACATGAGACATTTGACCTGCAGAGGGCATCATTATCTTAAGAATAAATCACATATATACTAAGGGGGGAGTTATACAATGTTTGTCTTTCATAGTCTGGCTTGCTTCAATTAGCATTAAATCTCTCCTTTTCTTCCACTTTGTATAAAATGTCTGGGTCTCATTGCTTTTTATGGCAGAGTAGTATTTCATAGTGTATAAGTGCCACAATTTTTCAATCCATTCATTTTCTCTTGGCAATTGTGAATAATGCTGTTGTAACCATGGATGTGTAAATATTTTCTTTTTTTTTCTTTGTAATCAAATATATTTTAAGGATTAATGTTTGGACATTATTTAACAGTGTGGGTATATCCAGACAAGCTAAGCACACTTTGACAACACACTATTAAATGTCACTGTTTCTGTGTTGAAATATGTAAAGACATCTGCAAACTAGTACCCAAGAATGAAGACATACACTTACAAGTACACACATTCTAGATTTGATGAGGTAAATGTAAACAGATGCCTCCTTCGAAACAGAAGACCCGCAAGACTAGGAAGAGAACCACTTAGATCCCTTTGTGCAAAATTAAAGCATGGTAAACTGATATCTACATAACTATCGAACCAACTAGTTTATACATCGTCGATGACCTTCTAAGATGTATCATGAGTGGTTCAAAGAATGTTTTTTCCAGTGGAGAAGCTTTTAAGAGGCTAAATCCCAATACTTTAAAATGACACAGATAATAGTTCTTATCTATTTGACCACTGCTCCAAGTTTGTGACATGATTTTAAGATAAGCAGTCTTTTATTTTAAACAAGAGGTTCTAAACAAATCTTTAGATTCTAAGCAGAAAAAAATGACAGGTACTATAGATTTACAATAAACAAGATATCTCTGCTCAGTATCCCAGTTCTCTTACATTGCAGCTATCTAATTTTACCTTAAATTTGTTTAAGGTCCCTTTCCTCCTTTGTTAATTTTGGTGAAGTAAGCACATTTTAAAAGGAAATTTGTGTCCAACCAGATAGCAGTACAGATATCAACCAAAGTTGGATCCTAGCAGCCAGTCCCCCACTGCTCACCTATGGGCTCTGTCAAATAATAAATATCCAGTCATCTCTCCTGAACAGTATACATCCTCTGTCACACTGCTTGAAAGCAAAATGGACTTTTTGTTTCCTGTGTTAAAACACCACGCACTTCAGAAATTAAAAATGGCCTACTCACCCTATACCTGTCTAAAATCTTAAGGGCAAAGAATATACATTTAAGTTTCATCAAGATTGCTTTAGAGTCTCCACCCACTTTTTTTTATCCTTTCATTATTGGTAGTGGCACTCAAAATAAATAAGATCTGTTCAAAGTTAAACTATTTGTCCTATTAGATTTGGGCCTGCTTGATTCAAAGCCAATATTTCAAAATTGTAGGTGCTGTTTCTGATTTCACAGCTACAAGTCACTTGAAATTATGTGTCACACACTAGTTTCATAAATCACAGTCTTTGATTGTTCTAGACAGAGCTATCACGAATGTATACAAACTTGAAACACACCCTAATTTAATCTAATAAAGCCATTATACAAACTGCTGGTCCCACTTTTTTCATATATTTTGAAGCCAGGTAGTAAAAATCTTCCAACTTTACTCTTTTTACACAGTATTGCTGTGGTAATATGGGTTTTTTGTAACTCCAAATTTTAGGATTTTTAAAAAATTTATATGAAGAATGCCACTGGTATTTTAATAGGAATTACATTGACTTTTTAGATCACTTTGGGTGGAATCAACATTTTAACTATATTGATTCTTCCAATCTATGAAAAAGAATGTTTAAGAGAGAGACAGACACACAGAAAGCGAGAAATCCCTAGGGGGGATGATCATGCTGCAATCCCTTCTTCATTCTTCTCCTGGGATCTTTGGCATACACACACACATGCCCACTGTGAGTATAAGTCACCAGGTCTGGGACTCGAACCATAGTTGACTACATGGGAGTCCAGTGACATAGCCATTATGCCAACTGCTGGTGCCAAGTTTTTTTTTTTTTTAATAATTTTCATAGTGGAGATGTTACACATCCTTGGTTAACTTTATTCCTAGATATTTTATGTACGTCTATGATTAAAAATGAATTAATTTTCTTGATTTCAATTCTGCTTGAGTTTACTATTTGTTAATGGACAAAAATGTTAGATGTTTGTATGTGTATCGTGTATCCTGTGACATTACTAAATTTGATTGTCACTTTTAAGAGTTTTTTGGTAGATTTTCTACATGAATATAATCATGTCATCTACAAATAGGCACAATTTAACTTCTTCCTTTCCAATTTAGATGTCTTTTGTTTCATTCTCTTGTCTATTTACATAGGCTAGAACTTACGGTGCTATGTTAAATTAGGAATAGAGAAAGTGGGTGTTCTTGTCTTGTTCTAGTTTTGAAAGGGAAGGTATTCAATTTCTCCCCATAGAGTATGATGTTTGCTATTGAGTTGTCATATATGAACTTTATTTTTGTTAGGAAATATACCTATTTTACTGAGAGTCTTAATCATGAAGGGATGTTGTACTTTGTCTTCTGTGCCTTTTCTGCACCAATTGATATAATTAGGTCTAGGGCAAAGGAAGGAAGGATGAGTTGTAGTTCTACTGGTCAGTCCAGAATGAATGCTCTCATTCAGCTCCTGAGATAGTGCCTTGTGGTCAGAGCTTGGTACAGGACAGGTTTGAAGTTTTATCTGGAGTAGCAGATCCTTGCAGTTCTCAAAAGTTAACTTAAGGTCTGTGACTGACTTGGCACTCTGCTGGTTGCTATGGTTATTTTAAACCATCCTTATTTGTATTTATCATGTCCTGTTACAGATAGAGATACACATTGGTGATCTATTCCTTCACAGGTCATCATAACAGGTTTCATAGGAACATTCTGTCAACCACTAAAATTCACAGCTGCTCATATACCTTCATGTGGATTGTAAAGAAGCATGAAGTTGTAAAACCATAATTTTCTTAAGCATCTAGATATTGTGAATTGTAATGTCTATCTTGGGTTTATCAGCTTTGAGATACTTGAAAGTCTGTGCTGAAACAATGTGATGCCAAGATCTGTCTTGCCAGTTACCTAGACTTTTTATTCCAAGGACAGTCAAACACAATATTTGTTG